GAGTTGTAGGACAGCCAGGGCTGCACGGAGAAGCCCTGTCCAAACAAACAAACAAAGCAACCACAATAAAATCACCTGTGGGCTGGCGAGAGGTTTGACTGCTTTGCCACCAAGCTTTACAGCCTTCATCCTTAACCTGGAACCTACCCAGTGCAGGGAGAGTCCCAGTTCCTTTACTTTTGTCCTCAGACCTCCATACGCCCCTGTCTCACTGATAAATTAAACTTTTAAGAGATTTTAGAATTGGAATATTTTATGCATAGTATATTGAGTTAGGAATTAACATTAAAATGGAGAAATCTTATTCAGTGGCATGCTGGCAACAAGGCAGAAGGTTTTGTAGGTTTATTTTCCTGCCCATCTGTTCTGGGCTGGGCCCACCTGTGTGCGCTTGGTTTCTCTCTGAAGACGGATGACAAGCCTTGCAGGTTGTATGTGTTTCTCCCCAGTGTAGGATGCAGAAAGGCTTTGTGTTGATTAAGTCAATAGAGTGCCTTTTTGTCCTGAAAAACTTGTGGGGGTTGTTTCTCTCTATCATGTGGATTTAGGGTCAAACTCTGGCTGCCAGTCTTTACAGGAAATAATTTTACCTGCTGAGCTATGTTGCTGGACCCTTCACCTATTTTAGAAAGATTCTCTTTCTGAATCTGGAACTCACAGATAAGTTACACTGACTGACCAGCAATGCCTAGGGGTCCTCCTTCTCCATCCATCCCATCCATTGGTGGGGTTACAGACATTCACCACTGTGCTCAGCTTTTCTGTAGGTGCTGGGGATTCAAACTCAGGGCTTCATGATTACACGGTAAGCACATTACCTATGGAGTCATCTCCATAGCCCCTATGGGAATTTTTTTAACTCACAGTGCTGGTGCTAATAATCACTGTTGCAGATGTTTTGTTGGAGCCAGAAATGAGTAAAAATTTTACCATTCATTCTCCAAGTATTTTCCTTATAGTTGATTAAGACATTGTCACTAGCAATTGAGTGGCTGCTTACAGTTTTGCTCCATGCTTTAGTGGAACCAAGAAAGCATGGCTTATTAAACGTTCTGCTAAACCAGACACTCACAGGGAAAGGGCGGTGGCTATTCTAGCCCTGGAGGGATGCAGGTCCCCTAGTTCTGGACTCCTCTCTCAGCGACTGCAGTGAGGGGAGATCTCCCAGTGGGCAGAGGCTTCCTAGCTTAGCTTGGAAGAGAAGCCGTCGGAACTTGGGTAGCTCAAGTGTACACTGGGAAAGCCAGACTTGAGGAAACTTATTGTGTATTTCCTGTTGTTCCCCATAGTACAGCCACATGCTTTTATGAAAGATGAAGGGAACTCATTGATTGTTGTCTTTTTCTTTTTATTGATATACCTATTTAATCAGAATGTAAGAGGGCTATCTTTTAAGAGCTCCCTTTGTGCTGTGATATAGGAAGTCTGAGCATTGCTCTTAGTCATTGAAAGAAAACAAAGAAGCCTAGAAAAAAGCCATAGGCTGGGCAGTGGTGGTGCACACCATTATTCCCAGCACTTAGGAGGCAGAGGCTGGTGGAGGTGGATCTTTGAGTTTGAGCATGGTCTATAGAGCTAGTTCCAGACTGCCAGGGATACACAATGAAACCCTGTCTTGAAAAACCAATAAATAAATAAATAAATAAATAAATAAATAAAAGGTTCCTTCTGTCTCCAGGGGCAGCAGTTCTTAACCTGGGGGTCAAAAGAGTCTTTCACAAAGGTCATCTAAGACTAACTGAAAACACAGATATTTACATTATGATTCATAACAGTAGCAAAATTCTAGTTATGGAGTAGCAATGAAAATGCTTTTATAGTTGGGGGTCACCACAACATGGGGAACTGTATTAAAGGGTCACAGAATTAGGAACTACTGCTCTAGGGATAATTACTTCTCTGTCAGTTTAAAGGTAGATGGGTCCTGGGCCTGGGAAATAGCTCAGCTAGAAAAGGGGTATGTTGCAAAGCCTGACCCTGACCTGAGTTCAGTCCTTTTACACCACAGCATGGAAAGAGAGAACTAGCTCTTGTAAATTGTTCTCTGAACAAACATAATTAAGACAGGTTCCTTACTACCAGTCTCCATATGTAATAGAGCGAGAATGGACAGTTGATGGATGGGGCAGAAAGAAATGGTTGTCACTTACAAACGCGGCTTAGGCTGGACCTCTTTAGTAAGCAACATATATGTTTTCATTTACTAGCAAGCCTGTGCCAGGCACGACATTGACTAGAATCCTAGCAGAAGAAAGAAGGAAGCTCGGGAGTCTGAAGAGCCCTGGACTGCATGAGTCTTTGTCTCTGGCTACCCTCATACTCAACTCAACTCCATCCTTTGGCTTCCACATCTCAAAAGATATAATTAACATGTGTCAGGCTTCTAGTTGTTTAGCGAGATAAAGTCTTATGATGTAGTCCATTCTCAGCGGGAACCTGTGATCTTCCTGCCTTAGCCTCTGAAGACTAGGATTACAGGTGATAATAAACAATAACAAAAATTTTAGTATTACATTAGATTCGTACTCACCACACGGGACTGTGTGCGTGGTTGCATGCGTGCGTGCCTGCGTATCCTTGCATCCTAAAAGAAAGGAGATCCTCCTCCACTGTAGAAAGGAGATAATAGAATTTACCCATCTTCTCTTTGGTGTTTTAAGGTCTTCAGAGATGAAAACACATCATGAAAGGGTACTTGAGAATTTCATGGCTTTATTTCCCACTCTTGTGTTGGAGCTCCTTGCTTGTGTCTGTTGTAACTATGTGTAGACTTATAATGTAGAAGTCAAGAGCAGTTTATTGTTATCAGAGAGTAACCACATCATAAATAGGAGTAGAGAGGCTTCTGGAAGTCTCCCTGCAGCAATGGTGTTGAAGTTAGCAGGAGGAAATGACTAGTGACTTAGATGAGAATGACCGGGTCAAAATGTCCTTCAAGCTAGACATGGTACCACATGGCCTGGAATCCCAGCCCCCAGAGGCAAAGGCAGTAGGATCTTTTTTTTTTTTTTTTTTTTTTTTTTTTTTTGGTTTTTCGAGACAGGGTTTCTCTGTATTGTCTTGGAAGCTGTCCTGGAACTCGCTTTGTAGACCAGGCTGGCCTCGAACTCACAGAGATCTACCTGCCTCTGCCTCCCGAGTGCTGGGATTAAAGACATGTGCCACCAACGCCCTGCTGGCAGTAGGATCTTTTAGGCCAATCTGTGTTGCCTAGTGAGTTCTAGGCTAGCCTGAGTATAGGGTGAGACCCTGCTTCAAAAATCGAAGCAAAGATATTGTTTGTCATAGTATACCTCATCTTGGAACTGAATGGATAGAGAGCTGTCCTAGCATGCATGAAGGCCTGACTCTGATCTTCAGTAACCCCCAGACTCAGTGTGGTGGTTCACATCTGTCCTGGAGGCAGAGGGGCAGAATCAGGAGTTCAAGGTCCTCAGCTGCGTCATGAATTCTGGGCCAGCCTGGACTACATGAGACCCTGTCTCAAAAATAAGCAACAAAAAGGATGACCATATCCCTTTCTAACATTCTTGTATAAAAATTTCAGTAATTAACTGGAGACTTGCTCATGAACAACATCCACCCATGTTACCTCAGTGGCTTCCCAGGCCCCACCTTGACCCTCCTGTCACAACAGGCGCTCAGGGTTCAAGTGTAGACTATATTCTCAGCTACTGTCTTAACATAGCTCTGACCTAAGTGGAAAATGCATTCTAGGTCGTGCAACAGAGGAGAGACAGCAAAACTAATGAAAGTAAATCGTAAACCAAAAATGAAAACTGGCTTTTATTTTTTATATATGGAGCCTTAGGTATGTTAGCCAAGTTTTCCCACCCCTTAAAAAAAATACAGAATAATGCATTGCCAGCATTTAGACACCACGACAAAGACAGTCTCCACACCCACTTGATTTTTTTAACCTTTCATCCCTCCTTCCTCCTTCTTTTCCCTACTTCTACCATCCATCCATCCCTGCTGTCCTCCTCCCCCCCCCCCATGAGATAGCATCTCTCTTTGTAGCCTGGACTCCCTATGTAGACCAGGCTCCTCAGACTCACAGAGATCTGCCTCCTGAGTGCTGAAATTAAAGGCCTGTGCCACCACACCCACCTCAACTCTCTCTAAGACAGGATCTTCTGTAGCTCAGGGTAGCCCTGAACTTGCTATGTCTCTAAGGCTAGCCTTGAGTGTCTGTATGTCTCTCTGTCTGTATCTCCCAACCGTTAGAATTACAGGCGTGTACTCAATGCCAGGCTGAGGCTTTCAATATATACACATATTTGCTCTTGAATTTTCAACATGTTGCATACCATATATTTACTCATTACATTCTTTTAGCCTTTAGTGTATCTTGGACTCTCTCTGGCTCAGAATGTGGTGTGTGTGTGTGTGTGTGTGTGTGTGTGTGTGTGTGTGTGTGTATGTATTCATACGTACTTAACACACAAACATCTAGCTAAAAGTATAATGGCCATCTGTTTAGTGACATAAATATCCTTTTTTTATATATACTGATTGCCATTTAGAGCAATGCCACTGTTTTGTTATTACAAATGCTAGAATGAACACCCCCCTCCATGCAATATGAATACAACTTTTATATACAAAATGCAAGTTACGCCGGGTGTTGGTGGCACATACCTTTAATCCCAGCACTAGAGACAGTCAGATCTCTGTGAGTTAGAGACCAGCCTGGTCTACAGAGTGAGTTCCAGGACAGCCTCCAAAGCTACAGAGAAACTCTTGTCTCAAAAAACCAACCAACCAACCAAACACACAAACCAAAAACCAAAATGCAAGTTACATACAATAGATTCATTAAACTTTGGCAGGTGTGTGCTTCCGTAAGCCTAGATCCTACCTGAAAGGATCGTTTGATCATTTCATAATTTTCATACAGTAATTTTCTCTCAAATTGACTCGTTAAATGAGGAACAATTTAGTCCCAGAATAAGCTGAATGCCTTCAGAGTCCTGGATCTCTCAGCACAGACTATATCAAAAAATGTGGAACACTTTGCAAATTTGGGTATCATCCATGCATAGGGGCCATGCTAATCTCTGCTCCATCCCATCTTTAGCTGTAGGCTGCCAAAAATATGGCAACAGCCATGCTTTCTTTATAAGATAATAACTGGCCCCCACCCATTTTGGCAATCAATCGATAAGCATATGGAATTTCTCTGAGTTGTAATTATCTTGGAAGAGTCTCAATTTGCCAAATAGAATACTGATTTCTTATATTTCTATGCAATTTAACAAGCACATGAGAGTTAATCGGGCCATCCTTTTTATTTGCTAGTGAGAGGGCTGCCAGCTGCTTACCATTCTGCAGGAAATGGCTTTGTCTTGCTTCCTTCCTCCTGGTGTTTCCGTAGGCTAAGCTACTGGGCCTCAGGGTATAGCGGGGAGAAAGGGCATTTGCTGGAGAAGTGAAGATGTAGGCGAGTCCTCAAGTATGCCACTTCCTAGGAGGCGTGGCCGAACTTGTGTGTGCCTCTCTACAGGCCGGATGGAAAGCTCACTAGAGTGCGTGTTTTAACAAGCCGTGCTGGTTTTTATTTTGATGTATGAATGAGCATCAGCATTTACTCCAGAGTCATATGAGTTCTGTTTGCTTTGACGGGTGAAGGATGGACGCCTTAGCATTGGTTTGGTCTCATCATTTCTTTAGGTTACAGAACATGCAAATGTAATTCCGTATGTAAGTCAGTGATTTCATTTGGTGAGCCGCATTTATTGCCCACCTTGTTCTTGGTGTGATATTATCTGCTTGGAAAGTAGTTCAAGCTGGGCCTGGTGTTGCATACCTATTATCCCAGCCTTGGGAAGTAAAGACAGAGGGATTAGGAGTTCCAGGTCATAGTCAGCTAGCTATATAACAGGTTCAAGGCCAGCCTGAGGGATATGAGACCCTGTCAACAAGAAATAAAAAACCCTCACACTTTATATGTCCCTATTTGAAATTATTTTTCTGGGCTGTGGTGGCACACGCCTTTAATACCAGCATTTGGGAGGCAGAAGCAGGTGGATCTCTGAGTTCCAGGCCAGCCTGGTCTACAGAATGAGTTCCAGGATGAACTCCAAAGCTAAACCCTGTCTTGAAAAACATAAACAACAATAAAAATAATGCCAGGAGTAGGGATAAAGGTGATTGGTGGCTGCATAATTCTGGTAGCCGGAGCAGCACGGGGCTGACTTCTTCGCAAAGAACCCCCGACTACCTTACTGGGTGATGGAGAAACAAAGGCAGCTAGCTACATCCAGAAGTGTGTGTGTGTGTGTGGGGGGTCATGTGTACAAATAAGATGGTCTTGCTCTAAAACAGCCTGTTTTCCACGAGACCCAAATCACTCAAGGAAAGTCACATGAATCACTTCCAGTGGCGTGACCCCTGTGACCTAACTACCTCATTCTAGGCTACTTCTCCACGTATCCATGCGCTTACCATGGCTATCCAGGGTAGCAAGCCTCTAGAATATACTCCGACCATATCTGTACTATAGCAAGACTGGTGTGAAGAGTTCGGGAACCCACAAAGTGGGAGAGTGTGGGAACCGAGTCAGATGAGTGGTCCATCACAAAGCCTAGCCAGTTCAAGCAAACTTAATGCTTTCTAGTCTCCAAACTACTCTCACATGGTTATGCAAACGGATCTTGTGACGGTTAATTTTAGTTGACACAGCCTAGAATCACCTGGGGAGAGTCTCAAAGAGAGACTGTCTACATTGGGTTGGGCTGTGGGCATGTCTGTGGGGGATTGTCTTAACTGAAGCTGGGAAGACCCGGCCCACTGGGAGTGGTAACAATCCCTAGGCAGGGTTCCCCAGCTGTTAAAGAGCAAAACCAGACACAAGCAATTGAGCATGCATACTCTCTCTCTCTGACACAGAGTCTCACTATGTAGCCCTGACTGATATCCACCTGCATTTGCTTCCTGAGTATTGGGGTTAAAACACTGGCTTGCCAGCTCTTGCTCTTAACTGAATGTGGTGTGATTTCCTATTTGAAGTTTCTGCCTTGACTTCCACACATTGGTGGATGGTGACCTGGCTTTAAAGCCGAAACAAACCCCTTCCTCCCAGGTTGCTTTTGTCAGGGTCTTTTTGGGTTTTATTTGAGACAGGATTTCTCTGTGTAGCTCACTCTGACACTCACTGTGCAGACCAGGCTGGCCTCGAACTCACAGAGATCTGCTACCTCTCTGCCTCTCCAGTGCTGGGATTAAAAGGTGTGCACCACCCCACCTGACTGTTCTTAAATATAAGTTTTATATACTGTGAATTTAAAGCAAGCTATTTCCTGTAGTTCAGTGTTTGTTCAGAAAGAGCAAAGACTTGAAATTTCCATCTACAGTGTGCCCATCTTCTGGAGGTGTGATATGTTTTCTTTTAAAGTAAAGCAAAAACACTTTTTGTCTTTAAAATTCTGCATGTTTGTGTTGTGGATTTTGCCATATGTATCTACTGAAGCCCAAAGAGGGCATTGGATACCTGGAGCTGGAGTTAGAGGCGGCTGTGAGTCCCTGCCAGAGGCGTCTGTGAGCCCCACAGGGAGAATGCAGGGAATCAAACTTGGGTCCTCGGGAAGAACAGCAAATTCTCTCAAGTGCTGAGCCATCTTGCCAGCCCGTTTGCTCCTTTAGTGGCGCCTTCAGCCAGCCGTGGGGCAGGACGGGAGGAAGCTGATACATTCAGCACCCTGGCCTTGTATAGCAAAACCAAACATTGGCTGGCATCTTAAGATGGCCCAGTGGTCCCCAGGGTAGAAGGAGGGAACCAACTCCTGATGCTGTCTTCCACCTGTGTTCTGTGGCTCACCCCCACACCCCAGGAACACACAGTTATTAGCTAAAACCCAAAATCAGGTGTCATTTTGACCTTCTGTTCTGGGCAGTGCTGGTTCCTAAAATCCTCGATTTGTATGGGTCTGTTTTGTAACCTGTCCCCCTACCAGCATGTAAACTTCCCCCCTCCTACACAGTAGGTAACCCCCACCCCTGCCCCCTCATTCCAGCAGGTAACCCCCCACCAACAGGTAGCTTCCACCCTTCCCCCACCCAGCAGGTATACTAACCCCCTCATACACAGTTATGTGCCCTCCTCCACCCCTGCCCCCTACACAGCAGGTAACCTCCTCACTCTTACCCCCTCCCCCCCCCAGCAGGTAACTCCCTGCTTCTCTTTTTCTGAGTTTCTCCTTTTAGGCCCCTTCAGTTAATTTGGGGGCTCCTGCATTCTGATTTGCCTGACCAGGAGAAGCCGCAAACAGAGAAGTTGGGGACAGTTAATGAGTTCTAGAAGGAGCCATTATCTGCATCCCTGGTGTAATAGCCTTTAAGCACCTCCAGCCATTTAGTGAATCTTGGCTGTGCCTAGAGCAGCTGCAGGACTGGGTGCAGCCCACTTTTATTTTGACATGCAGCAGGCTCTTGGTTCCATGGAGTACAAACAGAAGCACACACGTCAGCGAAACCCATTTCCATTTATCATTTTAATTTTGCTAATACCCACCGAGATGTATTCACCAGCATGGCATCTTTCAGGTCCATTATTGGAGTTAAATACTTAATGACTTTATTAAGTAATCCATGCCATCCTGAGTAGGACACTTTGCTTCTTCTTTTCATATGAAAGGAAACTTTTCCTAAAGTCCCTGGGAATGTGGTAGCATTGCTAAGCGGGCCACCTGACTCTTCCCTCCCAGTCCTCGCTGGCTGAGTGCCTTCCAACTTAGCTGCAAGGAGAGGGGCGGTGGAGACTCCTACTTAGCCGGCTTCGGAAGGAGGAAAAGGCAGAGACTGCTAATCAATCGAGAAGCAGTCTAGGATCCAGCACAGATGCTTTTAGCAAGCCTGGCACGGCTCTTTGCAAATTAGCCTTATTCTGTAAGTGGCTGCCCTGGAAATGTTCAGTGCATCGGATGATAGGATAGCACATGTGGGCTCCTGGGTAAATTACATTATCCTAGACGGGCCGTGCTGAGATGCATTAGACGCAGTCTATAGAAGACAAGACAAGCAATTCCACTTATTTCCTTTTCAATCAAAACGCGACACACAGAGAATTGAAGTGCAAAATGTGATCAATACATTCTAAGTGGGTTAAAAGAAAAAGCCAGCAGTCTATCGATAAGTTTCAAAGCCACTAAATATTCTTAGGGTGGGTGGCTTTAATGTTAATTTTCTTACATCTTGCCTGTATTGGGCTAATTTGGGAGTAAACTTCTGCCAACTAACAAGGACCCTTGTGCAGAGTGGGTGAAGAGTTTTGTGTGGGAGACCCTGGTGTGTTCCTCTGTCTTCAGCCCTAGACGTAGATGGGGTTATGGAAAATTGGACACTGTACTTTTCGCATTCTCCATCTTTCCATGGCGAAGTTTTTATCTTTTAAAAAATAAGAATATCTTTAGAAATTCTTTGAAATTCCATCCATGCATACAATGCATTTTGATTGTGTTCACATGGTGAAGTTTCTGGTGCCTGTGTTAGGGACTCCCCACCACAGGATCCGCAGGATCTGGTACTATCCAGGCTGGCCATAAACTTGGTATGCAATAGAGCATTGGTTCTCAAACTGTGGATCTTGACTCCTTTGGGGGTTGAATGAATGGTTGTTTCACAGGGGTTGCCTAAGACCTCTGGAAAACAGATATTTACGTTACGATTCGTAACAGTAGCAGAATTACAATCATGAAGTAGCTGTGAAAATAACTTTATGGTTGGGGGGTCACCACAACATGAGGAACTGTGTGTATTAATGGGTTACAGCATTAGGGAGGTTGCGAATCACCACAATTGAGAATGGCCTTGAACACACTGCTAAGTGTTGGGATGTCAGGCAATTCCCCTGATTTGGAGAGACACCTTTGATGAGAAACTGCATTTAAAGTTTTTCATACTTTGTTGGTCATGGTGGGGCACGCATCTTTTTGTTGTTGTTGTTGTTGTTTGTTTTGTTGTTGTCTTTGTTTTTCAAGACAGGGTTTCTCAGTGTAGCCCTATCTGTTCTGGAACTCTGTAGATAGCTGGCTGGCCTTGAACTCATAAAGATCTAGCTGGGCGTTGGTGACACACACCTTTAATCCCAGTACTCAGGAGGCAGAGGC